GCGCTAGTTTTATTACATTCACCTCTTTTTCAGTGTGTGCTAATCTTCAAAAGACAGCTGTTAAAATTTCATGATATTCTATTCATTACTTTGTGAGTTATTGTGCTAAGAGTGACGCAACTTTTGTTTCATCAAGACAACGCACCGTGTCACAAGTCAATCAAAACAATGGCAAAATTACATGAATTGAACTTCGAATTGCTCCCACATCCACCGTATTCGCCAGATTTGGCTCCCAGCGACTACTGGCTGTTCGCAGACCTAAAGAAAATGCTCGCCGGTAAGAAATTTCGCTCGAATGAAGAGGTCATCGCTGAAACTGAGGCCTATTTTGAGGCAAAAGATAAATCGTTCTACAAAAGTGGTATTGAAATGTTAGAGCGGCGCTGGAATGATTGCATTGTTCTTGATGAAAATTACGTCGATGAATAAAACTAACTTTCAACGAAAAAAACCGTGTTTTCTTTGTTAGGCTCGGGACTTTTCAGCCCATGTGTTAGAGTCTTGTCTTTGATTCGATCACCGCTACTCTTTTATTATAGATATGTAGACGATATAATTATGGCGGTACCTACCACTTTGATTAATTCCGTTTTCGACATTTTTAACTCTCAGAAGATTTAATTTACCATGGAGGTCGGTGACAATAGGTTAAACTTTTTGAATGTTACTTTAATTATTAATAATAATAAAATCGAATTTGATCGGAACTATAAATTAACGTTTTCAGAGAGGTATTTGAATTTCTTGTCTCATCACCCGATTTCTCACAAGAGGAGCATTGCCGGTTTTGATAGATAAAGTAATTTTACTTTCGAATCTTAAATTTCATCTTGATAATTTTTATTTTGTAATTAAAATCTTGTTGAAGAATAATTATCCGTTAGGATTCATTTTTGATAGTATTAATAAACAATTGAAAAATATTATTAATTTTAAGAGAAAGAAACCGGATAATGATAACATCGAAAGCGCAGGGCCTTCATAATTTACTGTTCCGATATTTTCCAAGAAATTCAATAGATTAAACAGCGGGAATATTAGAATATCGTTTTATAGTGTTAATAAGTTGCGTGAATTCATCAAGGATCCCCTACATAAGGATCCCCTACATAAGGATCCCCTACATAAGGATCCCCTTCCGCATGAAAAGAAATCTAATCTGCAGTATACAAGATCTGTTGCAAAGATTGCGATGCGAGCTACGTGGGACAAATAGGAAGACAACTGAAGACGAGAATAGCTGAACACAGGGAATCATGTTCGATGGAATACAACCACATATTCTATCATAACTGACTGATTGGAAGAGAACCACGAGTTCGATTGAAAAAATATTGTAATTTTGGATGAGGAACCCAGTACAAAAAGAGATTGGTGTCAGAGATGCTACAAGTCAGGAGACAGACACGTGGCCTCAACTTGTAGACAGAGTTGGAGGGGGTTTCCCAAGGCCAACTTTCCAATTGTAGACGGACTATAAATATCGGAGCGTTGTTATTGCCAGATAATCAGTGTGCACTCTTTGTTACATTAAGATTAAATTATTACAGATTCAGTTTTGGTTTTAATGTCCGTCTGGACTATAATTACAGTTTTTTACTCTTCTTTTTGCCCTTTCTTTACAATTAATGTTTTAGATGTATTAAAAGTTATTCATTAATTTCAACATAATTGACACTAATTCGCTGAATGGTCAAAGACTGGTTTTTGACTAAACTAATAGAATTTAAGTGTTTGCGATATGGTGAATTTTTGTTTTAGTGAGCTACTATCTATTATTTTACAATAAAAATCATTTTTGCTTCCAACAAATTTACCTTTTAATAATTTTAATACATTTTAAATTATTATTAAAGTTCGTTTTTATATTATTGTTTCTGTTAATAGATGGAGGTGATTTACTGAAATGAATTAGTTTGTAAAAAAATTTTTTGTTTATTAGCAGTAAATTTGTGTTTATTAAGCAGTGAATTTGTGTTTTTAAAGTAGTATGAATTTGCGTTTTTAAAACAGTGAATTTGTATTTGTAAAGCAGTAAATTTGTATTTTTCAAACAGTGAATTTGTTTTTAAAGCAGTAAATTTATATTTTTAAAACAGTGAATTTGTTTTTAAAGTAATGAATTTGTGTTTATGAAATAGAGAATTTGTGTAATTAATACAGAACATATACAGTTTTCGCCCTTTAAAACATTTTTACAAATGTTTTAAAGCGATCTCGTTATTTAAATTTATCCAAATTATTTTTCTTTACGTACAAATGATATATATTATAAATTACGTGTCATTTCTCGTTTATTATGATTCCAACATGGCCGCGGCGACTACCTAGGGGCCTTAATTCTAACGAAATCAGAAAATCACTTACAGCTTCGAGATGAAGACGATACTTTTCTAAATCGTAGACTTTATCGCTCACGTTCGATGTCATTCGCTTCAACTGTAACACTTGAAGGCGTATTATATTTTCTTCCACTTGTTTTTCTTCGTTCCGGGATTCTGCGATTTTCAGTCGTTTCTCGCCTCCATCTAACAGTAACAATAAATCCTGCTTCTTGCTCCGTAACCGTTCGAGTTCGTCATTTTCATTCAATAAGCCAGTAGAAACTTTTTTCATATCGTGCTACAGATAAAATATATTCCTTTTATCACGTTTTACTTAATTTTATTTTACTTAATTTTATTTTATTTACTTAATTTTATTACGTTTTACTAAATTTTCTTTTATTTATTTTTGTACCAATTTTATCTTTTCTTTTTAGATTAATGTATTATAATTTTATTTAAATATAAAATATAATAATTAAATAAAGAGAGAGAAAAAGAAAAAGATGAATAAATTTGTGTAATTAGGAATCGGCGCTATAAGTGTTGGGCTTAAACAATTAACAGACCTTAAAGACTCTAAAAATATATATTTCAATGTAGTGCTTGTATTAAATTCTTCAACGTAGAAAACAAATGAATTGTATTTCACTGTATGATCTGCACACGCTTCCATTGGTTAATCTTTAATATAAATGAGTATTTTCTTATAGCTAGTTGGTATGCTGGATGATCTCATGAGATTATGATCTCAGGAATATGCAGAACAGGTAAACAAAAATAGCAGAAAATGCAGTTCGAGCAAAATTGATCAAGTAATGTACATGCAAGTTAAAAAACGTAAATATCAGAGTAAGTCAGTGACAGACAAAATTAACGACGAAAAACGATCTTGATGGTTGCGAGTCACACATTAAAATGGATTTAATGTGTGACTCGCATCAATTTTATCTCATCTTAATCTCATAAGACCATCCAGCGTATCAATTAGCTACGGGAAAATATCATTTGTATTGAAGATTAACCAATTAAAACTACGTGTGCGGATTATGCAGTAACCCAAAGCATGTTTCAGCAAAATCGCACAAATCTGTGATTGCTTATAATATTGACAATTTGCCATAGATTTGTCTTCAATGATTTCGAATATACCGATATTGTAGCAACATGCAGACAACAATGTGTATATGTATTGCTAGCAGTTTAACAGCAAGATAGCATCAATGTTATCTTGTGTTGTCGACAATATGACAGCATTGCATGACACTGCATATTATTATGGCAACATGATGGCAATAGTACAAATCTTAATGATGACAATTTTAAAGTTGTCGGCGAATTGCTGGCGAGTTGCTACTCAAAGTTATCATCAAGTTGCCAACAAATGAGGACTCAGTTGCTGCAATTCTGGAAGCAATATATGCTTAGCAATTCATATTAGCAAGCAACATGCCAGCAACAAGACAGACTATCTGGGAAAATACAATTCATCTATTTTCCATATCGAAGAAGGCTAGAATTTAGCTGAAACGTCAAATAGATATACAAGCGCTACACTGAAATAAATATTTTTAGACTTTAAGGTTTGTTAATTATTTAAGCGCAACACTTACAGAGCCAATTCCTAATTGCCCAAATTTACTCATCTATTTAATTATTATTGATCTAAGAAATCTAACACTTGAATTCCATTTTTTATAAAATATAAATCTTACTTCCAAACTGACAATTTGATTTTGCAATAATTTAGATGTAGCTGTTTTTTCTTTGAATACAGCTTGCAGCTCCTCAATTCTCATCTGTTTCTTTTCGGCTTCACTCTTATCACGCTTATGCCCTTTAATTTGTTCAAGCTTCATTTCGCACTTCTGCAAACTGAAACTCACTTGATAAAGAGCTTCTTTTTTCTCTCCTACAAGTTTGTTTTCTTTTACGAGCAAAGCATTGAGCAAATCAACTTTTTTGTACTCGCTCTGCATTTCGATCTGTAAAATCTTTCTTTCGTTTTCCAATTCTACAATCCTTTTTGTTATACGTAAAATCATAGCTTGTAATTGACTTGATTCCTTGATAATCACATATTTTCGTTTCTCGTCGTGCTGGAACCAGTTGACATGAACTATTATTCTTTTCAAGATAATTTTTACTATATTAAAATATGGATTTACTTTTTATTATTGTATTTAGCAAGAATTGATTTTTTTTCATAATAGTAATATATAAACAGACTATAAGAGTTGAATTATGGAGGATGTTCCCGGATTAAACCGCCAAAATATGAATTCAAAACCTCAAAATAAATAAAAATTTTCCTCTGGACGCATGCTCGCAAACGCTTCGTTCAAGATATTTACTTATGAAGTTATAGAACTTCATTGCTTTACAATAATCAAAATTAGTTATTACATTAAATGTTTTTTTTTTTTTAATGATAGCCTCCAGTCCGGAGGTAATGCAGCTATCGATGAGAGAACGAGTGGCTAACTAACATTGTGCGTCTGTAATTTCTTCACACGCTTGCACAATTCTTCGTTTTAATGATTGAAGGTCATTAACAGGCATTCCATAAACTTTTTTTTTCAGAATACCCCATACAAAAATCTTATGATGTTAAATTCGCGGTGAACGCGGAGGCCAAGCCACAGATCCAGCAAGATCAATCCATTTCCGGGAAAATGAATATTAAGCCACTGTCGAGGACCTCTGCCACAGTGAGCAGGACAATCATCCAATTGAAACCAGGAATTCATTCTCATATTCAAAGAAATGTTTTCTAAAAGGTTATAAAGTTCATTGTTTAAAAATGTGAAAAATCCATTCGCATTCAAGTGAGGTGATAGAAAATGGGCTCCAAAATATTACCTATTATTCTTAACCATATATTACATTGAAAACCGTGTTGGAAATGTTGTTCATGGATTGATTCTCATGTGATCAAATATGACTATTTCTTTAATTGAGAATATCTTGTCTGATAAATATAATCTCATCTGTCCACAAAACAAATTTTTGTGAAAATTGTGGATCGTTACCTGTTTAATTTAAAAACTAATCGCAAAATGCTCTTCTGCGCGGCATATCAGCCGGTAATAAATGCTGGATATGTTGAAGATGGTATGGATGACATCCATCGGCTGAAAGTCTTCCATATAACTGTGGATGAAATTCCTAACGCAGAATCAGATTTCCGAGTACTTATTGATGGATTTTGATCGAAATGCAATATGATGGCTGTTCTTCTTTCATTTTGTAAAAACTCCATCAACCCGAGAATCATATTAAATGAAGAACAATTCAAGGACTCTTCATATAAATTAAATAACAATAAAAACAAGGGCAAAGTAAGAGTCAACGCATTTCTCTGAAAAAGTCATACAGATGAAGGAGTAAATTAAAAATACAAAAAATAATAATAAAAAAGAAAGAAAAGATAAATATTAAAACAACAAGTAAAAGTGATAATAAATTAAAAAAACATTACAAGTTTCGGCTACCGGATTGAGCCCTTTTCAGACATTAATATATCAAAAAAAACCGCAGTACAAAAATACTTAACGGAAATATTCGCATAATCACAATTTGGGTGAGTCTCGATGTAAAACTCGACATTATTCGCATACAATTGAGCAGTCAAATGTGTTTCGTGTCACTTGAAACAGTTCTAGTTGGTAAAAAAGATAAAAATCTTTTTAAAAAAGTGCAACTAAATTAACATACCAAAAATTTAAAACGTAATTCAAACTCACCAAAAACAAGTGTAAATTAATCAAACAGGGGTGTCCATACAAGAATGAAAAACCACCAGAATATACTAAATTTGGTGGTCGCAGATGTGTAAGACAGACATAGTGTATCAACTATTATGTACGCTTGCTAATACGGATCACCACGGACTGAGAGAAAAGACGGACTGTTAGTACTGAAAAGTCACACTTTATTTATAATAGGAATATAAGCCTTGTGAAGACCTTCAGTGTCAGTTTGTAAATTTAGACTATTTTTAGCCATCAAGCAGATTCTTTCGTAGAGACATTGTCAACCGAATCTTTATGTGTTAAGTGTCTGTTTTTAATTAGATTTTTTATGCGTTGATTAACAGTGTCAAAAATGAAAGTCAGTAGATAGTCATTGTCAAGTAAAATGTTAATTAAAAAAGTCAAATTTTTTAAATGAAACATAAAATCAGAAAGTAAAAAAGTTCTGTCAACTAGCGAAAAAATTGTACCTTTTTTCTGTGAAATTGGGTGATTCAAATTGAAATTTAAAAATCTCCCTGAAAAGGTAGGCTTACGATAATCAAAAATTAAAACGATTCCTGTAAATAGATATGGTGATATCAAGAAAATTAATTTTTTCTCCCCCAATTTCAGTAGTAAATTGAAGGCGCGGGTGAAAAGAGTTAAATTGTTTTAATAAAACCTCGATCTTAGACCGAGGAACAGCGGTACAAATATCATCAACATACCTATAATAAAATAAAATGTCCAAATTCATATTAAATGACCTAGCTTTTCTCAATTGTTGAAATGTTAAAGAAAATATTGATTTATCCGGCAATCTTCTGTTCAGAAATCGCGCGACGTATTCACGACGAGCAGCATTAGCATTTCCATCACAAAGCTCATATAAATATATCGGTATATTCACTATTAGAACGTACGAGGCATGATTAAGTTTATTTAAAAGTATTCAACGAACTAATAGCTACGATTATGAGCTACGAACTACGAGCTTTGCGAACAAAAGCCTATCAATGTCCTTCAAAACAAAAACAAGAGATATTTCAATTACTTATTATTACAGTTCTATATAACTTCAAAAATAAATACATATCTCTTGAATGAAGCGTTTGCGAACATACGTCCAAAGAAAAATTTTTGTTTGTTTTGAAGTCCTGAATTCATATTTTAAGTTTGATGGTTTAACCCGAGAATACCCTGTATGATAGAAATATACCTCAATCATTTTTTCTAAATGTCTTGTTTTTTCTTTGACATTTAATTTTTGATTCTCAACCTCTGCCAAAGTTAACATTAAATCATTGATTTGCCTCTTGCAATCATCCACCTTTATTTGTTTATTCTCGATCCCGATTTTTTTACGCTTTGCATTAGCTCGGATTTGTTGTACGCGACGTGCCAAATCTGCCACTAACTTCTTCTGGGTGTGAAGCTATCTCAATAATTATTGAAATGTATAATCATTCAATAAAATTATGAAAAATAAAATAGTCAATAGCTGTTGCATTTAAATTGGCATGCAATAATTAACAAAATTAAATTTATATTTTTATAGAAAATAAAAGTCTTTCTTTTGTAGTTTTCACCTCAATAGCGTAGATGTCAATCGTTTTATCGATTTTGCGCTGTTTTTCTTGGACTACACTAAGTTTCTTTTCCGAGTATTTAATCAACTGCTCTATTTCTTTGTTATTTACAATTTGATCCTTCAAAAATTGTTCTACTTCTTCGAGATTTTTCTTTTTCTCCCTGCTGATCTCTCGCAACGTTTCGATTTCCTACAACGATATATATTATATATCGATACAAAATTGAAAAGAAAATTGTTTATACCCTTAGACCATTCTGTATATCGTTGTCTCTCTGGCGCAGAATGTTGACACTTTGAATCCATTGGTTTATCATCTGTTTACGTTCTTTTAATGCTTCCATGTACAGTTTTGCTGTACGATTCAGAACGATCTCCATCTCTCGTACTTCACCGACAGTTTTGATAATAGTTTGACGATAAATTTCGAGTTCCATGCTGAGTTTCTGCCGTTTTTGTTCTAATTCCTAAGAATTAAATTGTATTTTAAACAATATTAATTGAAAATCGATCGATGAGATTAAATACGCGTAAGTAAAAAAAGCCATATTTGGTCAAGTTCATCATGCCTAATTATATTTCTTTTGTGAATTTATGCAAATACATTTTTCCTGTTCAAGCTAACTGTCCGCTGATTCCCAACCGAGGTAATCCTGATAGAAATGTATGCAGTTCTCCTAGACACCTATCTAGTTACTATCTAATATTACTGTATCTAATATTACTATTCTCACTAGTTGTGCCAATACTGAATAGGAAATGGACAAGAACTTGATAGTTTTATTCTGTCCATTTCATGAACAGTTGGCTTATTAATCAATTTGATATCCATTATATGTTGTGTTTCTATTCAGTAAATGGATTCAGATTTTACGCAACTTTTGTATGTAGTAACTACAACAAAGCGTTCCAACCTGATTAGAATCTTAAGTAGTTTTCTTCAGTTACTAGACAAAAGTTGGTATAACTATTTAGTAAGTGCTCAAAAAATACATGAAATTTTTGCCAGGGAATATTTTTCGTAATTAAATTATTTACAAATTTGATATTAAAATCTTTCTAAAATACCTAAAAGCATCAAAATTAATAAATTACTTGTGATATTATAGTAGTCTGGCTTTAGTTTAGGGCTACATTTAAAAATGTACTCCTTGCTATGCATTATTCCGATTAAAGCTTTATTATAATTTTTCATATTAACAAATAAATAAATTAATAAATCAATAAATAAGTAGTAAATCAATATGGTCTGAACCAAAATAGGCAGAAGAATCTTTAGTTCAAAATTTCATCCTCCTTCACTCCCTGAAATATTAATTAATCGTTATGGGACATCCTATATACGCACGCACGCACGCACGCACGCACGCATTGTATACGCATATGTAGTAACACATAGTGAGTTAGAATCGGCCTAGCTATCCTACTAAAGCAATCTTTTAAATGATTATTTATCTTTACAAATTATGATTCTAATAAATATAAAGAAATAGGAAACATACGATATTATGTCATTTTAACTTCAATATCTGTGCATTACTACATTTGAACACTATATTTAAAACTGATCTACTGAAATACAAAATACGTCAGAATATATCATAAATACGAGAGCAATTAAAAAAGATTAATTAAAAAATTTTTCTCTTATTATTTTAGAGAATTTTAATCAAAATTTGTGAAATTTCAGAACTTATTGTTTTCACTATGAACATAAAAGTATTTGAAAGCTCTTGACATATAATATTTAAATATTGAAGTTAACGTATATATCAAATGATCTTTTATGTTTGAAATCTAGGAAGTTTTAAAAAGGAGATTTCTTAGAAAAAGATAATGAAATAATGAACATGTGAAACTTATGATATTTTATTATCTAAGTAATACGATCATGACTGAAAATACAACACATCAGAATCATAAATACGAGGAAACAAAAAATTAATTTAAAAAATTCCTTCAATGACGTAATGTTATATATGGGATCCAATTTTTTATGTGACAACAAAAATCAGAATCAGTCAGTAAAACTATCATTTTTAGATGATTTTTTTTCAAAAATAGTGAATTTCATTGGTGTATAATTTTCGCTACGTAGATTAAAGTATTTTTAACTTCTAAAAAGTTAATTAAATATTGAGAAAACGTTTTATGATCATTAACACTTTTGCAAGCTTAGATTCACAAATATAATAACAGAATGAACAAATAAATATTATAACGTTATATTTCCAATATCTGTGGAATATAAATACTATGTCTAAATATACAATATATTATATATCAAAATACATCTTTTACACCGGAGCAAAAAAATTAATTGTAAAAAATTTTCTCAACAATGTAACGTCACATATTGGGTCCAATCTTTTTTGTATAATGACACAAATTAGAACCGCGTCAATAAAATTATTACTTTTGGATGATTGTTATCAAAATTTTAAAATTCTATTTGTATATCATTTTACTATGTGTAAATTAAAGCATTTATCAAATTCTCCTGAATTAATTAAATCATAATACATTGTCTTCAATAATGTTTAATTAGATTATGGAAAGCTGACACATGCTTTAATGAATGTAATTAAAACAATGTGCTCATAAATTTCATGAATTTTGAAAAAATTCATGTGTAATAGTAGTTTTACTGGTTAATCTTGATTTTTGTCATTACATCGATAAAATTGGACCTCATATATAACGTTGTTGACGGAAATTTTTAAATTTTTTTCTTTCTTCCGTATTGATGATGTATTCTGACATATTATATTTTTAGATACAATGTTTATATTACGTAGACTGCTAGAAAAGTTTCTGCAATCTAGTACTTCCAGTGGCGCCAACGTTCTGCTACTATCATATCCGTAAAATTAGACGTTTTTAACCTATAATTCAATTGACAGTTTGTACCCAAGCCAATTAGTTTTGTTTGCACAGCATTTTAGAAGTTATTTTGTAAGAAAATGGAAATTTCGCGTGAAAATTTTCGGGCAATGATTTTTTATGATTACAAATGTAATCTAACTCCGAAACAATGGATCGACTTCATTTGGTTTTTGGGGATGAGGCACCATCCAATAGGACTGTTTATTAATTGGTTTGCAAAGCGTACCTTTCTTAGTGATGAATTTCGTGAAGATCGTCCATCCACGTCTGTTGTTGCCACTGTGCGTGAAATGATTGAGCGAGACCGGCATATAACATACCGCGAGATTCAGGCATCCTTAGGCATTGACATGAAAGCAATACATACGATTTTGCATGATCACTTGAGCGTACGGAACTTTGCAGTCGTTGGATCCCACACAATTTGACCGAAGGTCAAAAACAAGCTCGTATCAAATAGAGCAAAGAAATGCTCAAGAAATTCAACCGAGGTCAAATTTGGTCTACAACATCATTACTGGGGACAAAACATGGATCTATCATATGAGCCCGAAAGTAAACAACAATCCACTGTTTGGGTATTTCAAAATGAACCGAAACCAACAAAAGTTGTTCGTTCACGCAGTGCTGCCAAGCAAATGATTGCTTGTTTCTTCGGTTATACCGGACATGTGACAACCGTGGCTTTAGAGGACTGTAAATACTGATTGGTATACAACAATTTGTTTGCCAGAAGTCATAAATGAATTGTGTAGAACAAACCGAAATCGTCGCGTCATCCATCATCATGACAACGCCAGCTGTCATACAGCACGTCAAACCATTGATTTTTTATCCAGTAATAATGTCGAATTGATGACTCATTGTCCGTATTCATCTGATTTATCACCTAATGACTTCTTTTTGTTCCCAAACATTAAAAATAAGATGCGTGGTGAGCGATTGGAGTCGCCTGAAGAAGTTGTTGAAACATTTCGTACACTGATATCTGTCACTCTCTAGGATTCGAAAGTAAGATCTAGGTGGGGGTGGAGGAATTTCCTCTAAGAATTCCACGCTGTCCGTGGAATTCGTCGGGGACGGAATTCCTCCGGGGGAAATTGGAATCGACGAATCGAATGATTGTGGAGGAGTATCTGGAAAGATTCTCTCCGTCAGTGCGTCCAAAAACGCGGGTGACGGAGATCGAGGGGGAGGCGAAGGAGTTTGAGAGGGAGGTGAAGGTGTTTGAGGGGGAGGAGGTATAACCTCAGACTGATTAACCGGCGGAGCCGATGGTGACAAGGGTGATGGTGGTGATGAGTGATCCTCGCCCGGATGACCCTGTTCTCGTGAACCCCCGAGGTACTTTTGAACTCCTCGTCCAAGAGTCTCAGCGCTTCTTCGTAGGCCCAGCTTCTAAGCCATCCCTTGTAACAACGGTTGTGTGCGTACGTGCGTGCGTGCGTGCGTGCGTGCGTGCGTGCGTGCGTGCGTGCGTGCGTGCGTGCGTGCGTGCGTGCGTGCGTGCGTGCGTGCGTGTGTGCGTGCGTGCGTGTGTGCGTGCGTGCGTGTGTGCGTGCGCGCGCGCGCGCGTGTGAATGGGACTTACTGTTGTTCTGCAGATGTGGGTAGATCTAACGGCCGAAATTGTTGGTCCCACCACTCCACGGAGGGTTGTCGCACGGATGTGGAGGCTCCGGTCGAGTCGCACAGTACGATTACGTTTTCACTCGATTTTACGCGACTCTTTTGCTAGCAGATCGGTAGAGTAATATAAACCGATAAAGTATGTATACTGATCGTGGCTACGGACCGGTAGAATAACGTTTGATTCGGACAGGCAGAATAGCGGTTGAAGGTTTGAATATGACTGGCAGAGTAACGGTTGGAGGTTGAAATTATGACTGAGTGTTCCTCGTGGAGGACCTCTTTTTATATTGGCGAGTGGGGCCGAGTGCAGAGCACACGTGTGCTGTTGGCCTAATCTAGGATTAGGATATCGATTGTGAAATGGGATACAGGGGTATGTGTCTAAGACAATTTTCGTCATCGACCATTTGCCGGATGTCCAATAGTTTAGAGCCACATGTGTCATTTACTGCAGACAACTGCTGTTCTATTCTAATCTATTTATTCTTCCTGTTCCTCGGAACAAAGTTCGCCTATTTGACATTAGTTCAAATATCTAATCCTCTATCCCGAGTGGATTATTAGTTCAAAAAGGTAAATGTTATTCGGCTCATCGCTATTGTAACTTCTCGTGGTAGAAACAGATGGTCTACCGGTATTACTTGTTAATAATTTTTATGGTGATGACGAAAGTTTTTAGTCGAAGAAAAGAACTGTGGAGTTCGGACGTAATATAATTAATATTTAACAAAAGAAAATCGAACGGAAATGAAATTATACACTAGTATTTGTTAACTAAGCTAGGAAACGATAATAACGAAGCAATTTATTCGATAACAATCTCCATTTGTTTATAACTTAATATTTAACAAAAGGAGATTAGATGAAAACGAAATTATATACCGGTAATTGTTAACCTAGCTAGGAAATAATATTTCTTTTTGTTAATATTAATTATAAACAAATAGAG